CAAACTCATTCATAACTATAAAACCTCTGGACAGCATCTGTAAGTTTGACATCAGATCTGAAAACATATGCATGTTCCTGCAGAAATAATGATTTAAGAACAAAATGAATTTAATTCCCAACCTTGATGTCAATTTCATTTCCTGAAATGACCGTCACGCACGAGGCAAATTAACCGTCCGATCTCACCACGAAGGCAATTTCCCTTTATGGCCTAGCGAGTGTTTTCCCTCACAGCTCTCCTCAGTGACAGAATGCTGGAAGCGGCACTTCACCACAAGCATAATGTTGGAAGTTATTCTTTTTTTTTTTTAATGAAATCATTATACCTCCCACAGAGATCAAACTGAATTCTGCTTTCAAACGCAGACAGATAAAACCACACTTTTCTGCAGAAAACGTGGCATTCCTTCATGTGTTTCTTTGTTCGTTGTGCTGAGTGTTTGTCTGTGGTGTGATGTGCTGTGTGTGTGTGTGTGCACGTTGGGAGTGTTTGTGCACGAGGCATGTTAATTGGGCTCATTAGACAGAGCTGCAGCACAGCTCCTCAGAGAATCGTTCTGCTTCTTCTTTCTTTTCTTGTGTGCTTTGCTTTGATGTTCTCAAACTGATACAATCTTCACCCGGAGCAGCACCTCCCTGAGTCGCTCCCCTCACCTCCCCAGTCCTCCTTTTCTCCAGTCTCAGCTGCTGCCTTTGACCTCGCTCTTCCTTTCTGATATAAGAGCTTCTCCAGCTGACCTTTGACTCTGTCCCCACGGTGTCACCGCCGCTCCCCCGCCTCATTAACTTCCTCAGCCTCTCATTTCCTCTCAACCCTCCATGAACCCCCCACCCTCATCTCATTGTTTTCTCGTTTAGTCTACCAGCACTGCTGCCTGTATAGTTCATGTGTTCTTTCATTTAAGGCCTCTTACCTGTGCAGCGCATCTGCCCCTCAGCTGGCTCATATCCAGGAATGCAGGCGCAGGAAGCTGTCGGCTGCCCCACCCACTGGCCGTCTTCCCCGCAGAAGAGCTTAGGCGTCCGAGATGGGGGTCCCTGCTGAGCGGCGTGCTCCACGCACGAACCCTGCGCCTCCTGCACCAGATACCGGGGAACAGTCTCGGGAAAGGATGAGAGAGTGCTGACCAAGGGGGGACACTTCTTGAAAAACACCCGTACGGACAGAAGGGCCATGCAGGCGCCCTGAGACTGGAAGGCCAAGTAGAACCCTCTCTTGCTCAGAGGGCCGAGTCTAAGGGTCTTCACGTTGAATTTCCTCTCCCCGCCCTTCCTCAGGAGGAAGTCTGCAGCTACTGTGTCCACCTAGGGCCGGAAGAAAGAGAGAAGGTTTTATGTAACTCAGCACATGGATCCAAAGGCTTGGAAACAACTGCTGGAAACTTTGTGGACATCATGCATGCTTTAATTTGAAAGATATTTCAAAGTGGGCAGCACGGTGGCGCAGTTAGTAGAGCTGCTGCCTCTCAGCGAGCAGGTT